AAAAAAAAAAAAAAAAAAAAAAAAGTCCCTATTAATTTGGTTCATTAAACAGCATTGCCACTGTGGAAGTAGAAGAAACATCCGTCACTCTCCCCTGGCCCGGATGTGCTTTAGTCATCTAGCTTGGTTGCTTTACCTCAACAGAATAAGGCTCTGAGTGAAGAGGAAGAGGAAGAAAAGAGATATCTTAATGGTAAAATATTTTCTAGTCTAGAAAAATGTATTGCTTGGTGAAAATAAGGATTTCTTTTTTAGATACAAGAGAAGAGATTTTACAAATAATATCATTGGCCTGTGTGAGTAACTATTATCATTCTCCGTACTTAACAGTGGTGGATGTTTGCTAAGAAAGTATAAGTATCTGGAAAGCTTTCTTAACTGGTTGCTGCTCCTCAGTATATTTTCTCTGAGTTCAGAATTGGTGTTTTTAGTTTGAGGAGGAAGACCCAGGGTTGTAGGAGGTTTTGAGCTAGAGGCAAGACTCGGGTACTTTGTGGATTGTTATCACCCTGCAAGACCCTTCGCAACTTCCTCTCGCCGCCCACAGCAGAATACGGAAACCCTGCTGTATCAGGCCACTTCTGCAATTACAGACAGTCCAAAGTGAAGGGGATCCTTCTCTCATACTACACGCTTTTGTGCTTAGGCTTTCTTTGCATTTGAAAATGTGTCTTTTGAGATCGAATGCCCACCTGATCCTTCATCTCTCCTCTCTTTTTGCTGCCCTGCAGTGCTGCAGCTGAAGCTCCAGCAGCGCCGGACCCGGGAAGAACTGGTGAGCCAAGGGATCATGCCACGTAAGTGCCTGTCTTCCTCTTGGCATTTGATAGAGTTGCTCTAGAACGTGGTTGTAGGTACCTGGTATGCCATGAGAAGCGTCTAACATAAGACAAGGATGACAGGGTTTGTTTTGCACTTTTTCCTTTCCTGTGCTTTTCCAAATTCAGAGACTTGTAATCACTAAACAGTTAAGATAATTGCCCTAATTGATCAAATTCAGTGAAACAAACAGTATTAGGTTTAAAGCATGCTGCTAAATTATCCTTACCTTTTGCATTGCACCTTTGAAAGGGTGTTTTTTGCCCTGTTACACTTTCCTTTATAGGAGGAGCAGATCTAGACCTGGGGTGTTGTGAGGAAGAACTTACCTCTTGCATGTGCTTTTGCCTTCATGTTCAGGTTCTTGAGAAATCTCTTTCTGCCTGATATTTTAAATTGACCACAACTTTATTTAGAGTGAGGCCCTCAGTTACTGTCAGACTAGCATGGCTCTGAGCATGCCTGAGGGAGGTTGTTGATAGGTCTGTCTTGGCCTTGGGCTCAGTGGGTGCAGAACTGGGTCCCTTGGAGGAGAAATGAAACCAAACCTTGGAATCTGTTAGAAATAAGACAATTTGCTTTTAATAACAGCAGCGTTATAAATGGGAAGCTGGACCCAGCAAGATTTTGATCTTTTTGACATTTCTTTTTAAATCATCTGCAGAGAGCATAGACTTTCTCTCTTCTTTCTTTTCTGTTTGTATATTATGACCTCTTGGATACAGCCTAATGAAGTTAAAAAAAAGAAGTCATACCAAAACTTCTGACTTCATAATGGATGAATTATTTTTTTCAGCTTAACTCTGTGTGGTGACCTACTCCCGCCATAGTTTTCTAATTCACTCAAAATATTTGAGTGCCTAATATGTGCCAGTTGATATAGCAAGATAAATCTGACTTCTGCTCTCAGTTATTTTTTTTTTAGAATTATTTCATTTAATTCATTAATTATTATTATTTAATATGCTATAGGGCACATGTGCTCACAGGGGGGCGGGGGGTGTCAGGGGAGAGAGATAGTGGAAAATAAGCCTCTAGGTCCAGGACTCAAACCACAGTTGGCCCTGTGGAAGTCCAGTGCCTTAGCCACCACGCCACCTGCTGGCCCCTCTCAGTTTTATATTTAGAACAGCAATACTGGTAAAACAAAACAAAACAAGGAGACCAACGAATAACAAAGATCTTTTCAGAGTATGGCAGGTGCTATGCAGTATGTTAACTGGTAAGTTAACAAGTAATAGAATAAAATGGTCGTCTTCGGATAAAATGGTCAAGAAAGACCTTGTCGAAGATAATGTATCTGAACTGAACTTTAAAGGGTGAGATGGAGTCACTCCTTCACAAAGCAGGATAAGAATTCAGGGAGAAGGAAAAACAAAGCTAAAGGCTGGGTATAGGCCAGAGATGTGATTGGAAACTATTAAGGACATATGACTTGGGCATGGTGAGGGAGGGATGAGGAGGGTAAGTAAAGATGGGCAGGGTGGCTGGGACCAGAACAAGGGCCTTATCAGCCACATGAAGAAGGTGGATTAAATACAGTGGGAAGCCATTAAAGGCTTTTAAGTAAGTGAAGATGGGATTTGGTATATGGCAGTGATGATAAGCCCATTTCTAAGACTTAGAACCCAATGGTGAGTGTAAGGAGTCTGAGGTCAATACCTATCTTAAGTATCAACCAGAGAGCCTAAATCTCAAATTTATTTTGTTTTTTTTTTACTACAGTTCACTACCAAACTATTTGCCTACATTATGCTACCTTCTGTTGCCCTTCACTGTAGGACTTACCTGCCCCTGCCCCTCAAATTGTTAGGTGGCTTGTGCAGTGGATCAGTAATATGATCAGATAGGGCAGTGCTATACCTTGCAGAACATTCCAGATCTGCCAGTTTGCAAACCTTGTAGAGGAACAAGTTACCCGGAATCTCATCTTGTCCCTTTCACCAGGGACATCATCTGTTTAGTGTCTGCTTTCAGCTTAAGGTAGTCCTAGATGCTATAGAGATGAAATAAATATGAGACATGGTACCTTTCCTCAAGACCTCGACAACTAGAATTCACGTAACAAAATGAAGAATATTTCAGTGCAGATCCATGGGTTGCTGACTGATTTCAGTACTAGTTCTGAGAGCATACACCACTTTTTGGTACCTGTAATATGTTCAGGGTCTGTACTCTCACCATACAGATGGTGCACACCTGTATTCTTCTTTCTGTCTTTCGTTTAATGGGGGGACTACTGGAGATCATCTTTTAAAATAGGATTTATTGATTATAGTCTCCTTGCTTAGCATTTTTTACATTATCTCGAGTTGTTGGTTCAGTTATTGCAGTTATCTGATTGTATTGTTTTTTAAAGAATTATTTTAAGAATTAAGAATTATTAATTAACTAATTAATTAGACCAGAGAAGGACAGAGACACAGAGAGAGAGGGGTTGGGGAAGTGAGAAAGCAAGCCACCAGGTCCGAGACTCAAACCATGGTTGGCCATGTGGGATTCCAGCACCCTTATCTACCACACCACCTGCTGGCCCTCTGCTTGTATTCTTGCATCTCGAACTAGATCATGCACTCCTTGAAAAAGTATCTTATTTATATTTCTGTTCCCAGTGTCTGTTCCTGAATGAATTAATTAATTAATGAATGCAGACAACCAGTTGTAAAGCAAGTGTGGAGTTGTGTGTATGCATATGTGTGTCTGAAAGCAACAGACAGAAACGGGTGCCACTCTTTTGTAAATCTGATGGATTTCTGGGCTTGGGATTTGAAACGACACCTGTCATTCTGTCAGGATCCCAGGTTTAAAATTTGTTGTGAGTATCTAGTTGTATACTTTGGGTTATTTTCTGTATCTGTGAAGTTAGAATAATTGCCTTTGCAAAAAAGAATAGGAATTATCTGCTTCTATGTAAATACTGCATCTTCCCCTCTACCAAGAGCCACCTTAAGTTACGGACACAGTCTTGTTTGTTAACTTATTTCTAGTAAGGAATTAGGTAGCAAACTCTTAGATTGTGAGAGAGAATATCAAGGCTTGGGAATAGTTTTCAGGTCTGAAATTTTCTGCTCATCTGTATTCCTGTTGATACATGGGTAGGGCTCAGAGTTCCCAAAGATGAGGCATTTCTATTTTCTAGTTCCCTACCCAGTGAGTAAATCACCCAACCACCACCCTGTGTCCCCCGACTCCTATCATAGTCTCCAGCATCCCATGCCTCCCTGCATCCCATCCCTCCTCATCTCTATTCCATATCTTTTAAAAGAAATTGTGAGCAGTGTTGGGGGCAAATCCTAAATGGCCAGCAAGTTATTGTTGCTACTTGGAAATTTAGAGACCTGGAAAATAGCATCTACTTTGAAGTACTCCATTTCCATTTCCATTTTGTTGGCCTGAGGAGTTTCTGAAAAGACCTCTTGGGAACCAGCAGTTAGCGTAATGGCTATGTCGCTGGACTCCCATGTAGCTGACCACGGTTTGTGTCCCCGACCCGGTGGCTTAAAACTCACACCGGGCGCGTGTGCATGCGTGCCCAAGATCCCGAGAGGAGAATGGAGGAGAAGGGATTGCGGCATGACCATCCCCCCTGGGGGGTGATTTCTCGCTTTCTGTCTCTATGTCTCTCTCTGTCTGTCTGGTGAGCGCACGTGCCCTATAGCGATAAAAACCTCTCCAAAAAAAAAAAAAAAGAGCTCTTGTATTTATTATACAACTTAGGAGATAGGTAGGGCCCTCAAGCTGGGAGAAAGGAACACAGTAGTTATGGCAATATTTTGTCTCATCATTTCTGGTTTATATCTTTTATCAGATTCTTCTTTTCTTTTTTTTTTTTGGAGAGATTTTCACTGTAGGGCGCGTGCGCTCGCCAGACAGACAGAGAGAGACATAGAGACAGAAAGCGAGAAATCACCCCCCAGGGGGGATGGTCACACCGCAATCCCTTCTCCTCCATTCTCCTCTCGGGATCTTGGGCACGCACGCACACGCGCCCGGCGTGAGTTTTAAGCCACCGGGTCCGGGATGTGAACCGCGGTCGACTACGTGGGAGTCCAGCGACATAGCCATTACGCTAACTGCTGGTTCCCATCAGATTCTTCTTGTTTGTTCCCATCTTCTTCCAGCTCTGGGAAGAAAAAAACCCCACCCACCTCATTTCCCACTGGTTTTCAGTTCAGACATTATATCTGCAGTACTCAACGTGCTTCAGTACCTCTTTTCCCTTCAGGGTTGTTCCTATTTCTATATATCATTCAAAGTTGGGGTTATGGCCTTTCCAAAACTTTTATGGGGTTAAAGAACTCCCAATTTTTACTACTTCTCTCTGGTATTTAATATGCTTTGTTCATGGCATTTCAAATATGGGGTATAGGAGTTGGTTTATCCTCCCTTCTCCCATGAAAGAGAGACAGGGACTGCCAAAAAGGGTCCTGTCATGTTGAGTCCCACCGTAACATTCTTTCAGCCAGCCAGATCATGGTTATATCTACACAGGCACACCCAGAGTGTTCAGGTCTACCCAGGAACCCTAAGGCCTTCCCATATGACTCCAGCATCACTCAACACTTCCCCACTACCTGAGCCACTGTGGCTGGGCTAGAAGTTGGTTTCTTCTTTTCTTTTTGGAATTATTTATTTAATTTTATCAATTATTATTATTATTATTATTTTTGGAGAGGTTTTTGCTATAGGGCGCGTGTGCTCGCCTGAAAGACAGAGACAGACAGACAGAAAGTGAGAAATCACCCCCCAGGAGGATAGCCACGCCACAGTCCCTTTTCTCCATTCTCGTTTTGGGATCTTGGGCACACACGCACACACACCCAGCGTGAGTTTAAGCCACTGGGTCTGGGACTCGAACCGTAGTTGACTACATGGGAGTCCAGCGACATAGCCATTATGCCAACTGCTAGTCTCAGTACTATTGTTATTTTTAAAATTTGCTATAGGGCACATGCACAAGAGGGAAAGGAAGAAAGAA